GTTATAATAAGGGTTTACGTAACAGCTGTACCAGAGCGTTGAACCCGGCTAGCTCATAGATGGACAGAGAGGTAAAGTTCCATCTTTTCAAATAATTTACCTGTATGGGTTCTGGTGTCTCAATGTGGGGAAACAAGAATAGACCCACTGCCTACCCAACAAGCATGTTATAAAAGGCGACTAAAGGGGGTGGGGGCGGGGGGGTCTTCCATCAAAGTAGGAGTGTCTCTGCCTGAGCGACAAGGAGCCAATAGTCTGAATACAAATAAGCAAGATCTGTAAAACGGATGCACTCGGAAAGCTCAGCTCCTGGAACAAAGCCGAAGTCTGGATATGGACGAACAACCAGGTCTTTTCGCCTGTGTTTACAGCCGGTGAAAGCAAACAACATAGATGGACAGAGAGGTAAAGAACATAGTTCTGCTTTATCAAATAATTTATATGATAATGACACGGACACAAGGCTTCTTTTCTGTACATATTTCTGTTCTAGCCTTAATCGCAGTAACCACCTGACGTGGACATTGCTATAAAGTTGTCCAGTAACCACCTGACTAGGACACTGCTATGAAGTTGTCCAGTAACCACCTGACGTGGACACTGCTATGAAGTTGTCCAGTAACCACCTGACGTGAACACTGCTATGAAGTTGTCCAGAAACCACCTGACGTGGACACTGCTATGAAGTTGTCCAGTAACCACCTGACGTGGACATTGCTATAAAGTTTGTCCAGTAACCACCTGACTAGGACACTGCTATGAAGTTGTCCTAGTTCATCATTTTGAATTCCCTTGACAAATGACAGCGTCATTGGACTTAATATAGAACAGCAGTCAGTGAGAATTTTCTAATGGCGTTGTAAGCTCCATGTGATTTGTTTGTGCGTAACTAAGAAAGTAGATTAACGGGCCCTATTCTTTACAAGGTTTAAAATAAGACAGAAAAACTCAAGTTAGGGGAAGAGAATTTATGTTCTTTTTCATAAATAAAACCCATATTTCAAAACACGTACATAGAAATATCTTCCTTTTTTTTTCACGTTCACTGACAGTAAACTCTGGCGGAAAGTTCTGGTTGTTCGTTCAAGTCAGCACTTTAGTCTTGTTCCAGAAATTGATTGTTGCGTGTCCAAACGTTTGGCATAAATGACTTATTTGTATGCAGACTACTGGTTCCTTGCCTTTCGTGCAGATGCACTCCGACTTTCAGAGAAGCTTCCAGTTACTCGAGTCTTACGACATGCTTGTTGGGGAGGCAGTGGTTCTATTCTTGTTTGTCCATAGTGGGGCTTCAAAACGGGAAGTACATAGAAATATGACAGTGATGAATTCATCTTTTCTTGTTATCACACTAAAAGCGCCATTGTGTTTACTGTTATCTTTCTACAGTTATCACGTGGTTCAACAATATCACGTGATGACTGCGTGTTTGAACGCGCGCTTGGTCATTAACCCCATCCACCATATACCCATGTTTGCCGTGGGTAATACCACGCTACTGTTACTTATCATCATCATCATCATCATCATCATCATCATCATGTAGCCGGTCTTTTGTAGAACGTCGCTCTCATCGCGGTCTGCCTGAAAGATACTTAGTCTCTCGTCAGCTGTCCAGCCTCGTACACTTTCACATCTAAGGGGTCAATTATATAATGTGCCCAACTTCGTGTTGGTCAACCCCTGCCCCTCCTTCCTGGTACCCTGCCTTTTGCTATTATTTCTTTTCCCCAGCCTACAGAATCGCTTAATATGGCCAAAAATATCTCAGTTTGCGAAACAAGGTGCTGTTTTTTAGCCGATCTTTCTTGTTGTGCAGGTCTTTTAGAATATCGGTATATCTTTTCTTCTTTGTACACTGTTTTGAGCATATTTCTTTAGCACTTTCAAAGGTTGGCAAAGGTTGAGTAAAAGTAGAGTAAAGATCCTTTTTCACGCCTCTACACATTCGGGAAGAGCGCCCATATATTTACAGACCATCGGCACTAGGTGGGTAAAGTGGTCAGTATTTCACCGACCGTATTTACTACCACCCCCGTTCTCTTCATTTATTATTCACTCCCCAGCATTTGCACGATCCTCTGCCTGCTTTGTCTCTCTGTCTGCCTCAGTTTGTCTTTCTGTCTGCCTGTTACGGTGTTTGTCTATCTAGCTCCTTCTGGTAGCCTTTCCGTATGTATCTACCCGCCTGCCTGTCTGCCTATTTATCTGCCTTGTCACCTGTCCACACACTATCTCTACCTGTCCGCTGCTTCTGTGTCTAGCGGTGTGATCTCTGCCAGTCGTCTCATTGTATTTACCTTGAAACGGTCAGGCGCGCCGCCACGAAGCCAACGTTGGGGGTGAGTGGGGCAGGGGGGCCCTTAAGCCCCACTACCTACCCCTCCCCATCAACCTTACACATTTTCTAGGTAACTTACTGTGGGGCGCTCCCCCCCCCCCCCATAATTTAAGGGAACTACGATGCCCCCTTTTACCATGTATGTTTGTTTTGTTTTAGTATCCAGAAGCCATGAGTTGTTAACCCTTAGGCTCGGTATTATGGATATCGCAACCTTTGCCCCTTGATTCCATTGTAAATACTGTAAATCTGGGAGAAATGTGGCTTTTCTGCCTACCCCCGGGTGTGAACCCGGACCACAAGGAGTTCGTCACCCCGTCTCCGCGCAATCCGGTTTAGCCAACTACGCTAGAGAGCCGGACTTTACCATGTATACAAATGATCTGTTATCATATTATTTCAAAGATATTATAACATTTATTTGCCATCCCGCACATCATTATTATTGTATTATTACTATTATTATTATTATTATTATTATTATAGTGTGCTGAATGGCAAGTAAACATAATAGTATCATTCAAATAATATGAAATGTATAAACACCAAAAAACAGTAACGAGCCACCCTATAGTCCCGTCTGGGGTGGTTGTCCACGATTATGTGAAAAAGGTGGGTGGAAGAGGGGGGGGGGGGTGAGGTAGTGGCGATTGTAAACATGGCTTTTTTTTTTCTTCTGATGGCACGCAAGGGTGCGCGGTACTTGCACTTTTAAAGACATAAATTCAACTTACCACTTTTAGTCAGAACGCAACGCGGTTGTAAGTGGAGGAGTCTGTACACATGCATAGACGCGCGCACAATAATAGTACTTAACCCATGCGGGAACCTGTGACGTTAGGTACCTTTTGTGTGGGAGTACCTGCCTTCCTAACCATGAAGTGTTTGTGCGTGTATAGATCATCATCATCATCATCATCATCATCAGGTGCCTTGCCGACTGGCGCGGGCGATCATGCCTCTCCATAATCTGCGATCTCCTGCAGCATGTATCAGTTCGTGTGCCGACACACCTCCAATCCATGTAACAAGACTGTCAAGCATCTACTCTCGTTGTCTTCCTCTATCTCTCCTTCCACATATCTTTCCAGTGGTCACAACATGTTCTATTTTCCCTTTTCTCATAACATGGCCGAAAAATGATGACTGTCTCCTTCTCATGTTTGTTATAAGTTGTCTTCGGGCTCCCGCCTCTTTCAAAACCTCTTAGTTGCTCTTTTTGGCCGTTCAATGTATTCTTAGCATTCTTCTGTAAAACCACATCTCCGAGGCCTCCAGATATAGATGCGTGTATAGATACATATCTTTTTTTAAACATATTATTCAATAATAATAATAACAATTCAGTATGTTATTACTAAGGAGGCAACGACGCCCAAGATAAACCCCAAGAAGAAGGCTGACGGGAGAGGCCAAAGCTGCTGGACTGGATTCCCTCCATGATATAGAACTGATCGCACAGGATATATCAGAATAAGGGAATAAAGTGTGAACTCTATGTAACATATAATAGCACAGCAGGACAATGAATAAATGTTATTATTAACCTCTTAAACCAGGATTGAGCGCCACCCTCCCGCTAGGAAATTGTGGGGGGGGGGTGGCTGCGTCTTCGTGCCACCCAAAACATTTTCTTTGTGTCGTCGCTCCTGGAGCATAGTTTAGGCATGTAGAATGACAGGCATGTTTTTAATAGCGCCCTGAAATGCGTCTGTTGTTTGCATGATACCTATCTGTTTCCATTGTAGCCCGTACGTTTCTTTTAATGCTCATTTAAGTGATTGTCTTGACATATTGACGTTCCATTCCTTACATTGTCTGTTCTGGTATTGACGTGAGAACACTATTTAAACAGCAGGGGAACTTAAGCACGGCGGATAACTTTCACTTTGTTTGTTAACAAAGAATTCGAGTTATCTTACCAGAACATTCAAAGAGGTTCCCTCGCTAGGCGGCGTGGTAATGGGAAAACTCCTGAGTAATCGCCGCGAGGCGATGAGTCATATCTGACCCGATTGATTGACGGTGTTCTTTTTTTCACGCTGCCTCTTCTGACGCATGAGCACGCCAAGCTGGTTCATTCACACAGGGGAAACCTCTTTGGTGATTGGCAGAGCTTCGTGCCAGCCCTAGTTTCTGATTCGCTGTGGGGCCACATATCGCATGAGGGCTACACGCGGCGTATACATAACGCGCACAAAATGGAGCGAACAGGTGTTTAAAACTTCTTATAGTTTAGTCATCTCATCTTGTACGATCGCCGAATGTTGGCTTGTGTAGGTCAGTTGGGACTAGTTGCTCGTGCTTGTGTGTACTGAAACTAGTTCAACTGTACATTTGCCCAACGCTCATGAACGGAGAAACGAAACGAGCTACTAATTTCTAACTTTGTGAAGTTGAGAAACTATACCAACAGAATACAGTGAGTATTTTGTGGATTGGATTAAATAATATAAACACGTCGTTTTTAGACGGACACGTTAATTTTTCAGTGATATTAGTGTTCAGAGTGTTAAAAAGGTATTTATAGTTAGAAAGTTTCAGTGACAATTGTTCTATGGAGTATCAGAATTGAGAACGGATCTGTTTCAAATCTCGAGAATGAGAGACAGCTCTCCTTCGATCTGGACTTAATTACGTGGACAATAGGCTTGTGGTAATGGTTATCTATAGTGATAATTCGTCGTGTGAGAGCCCCACGCGTCGTGTGAGAATCAAACCCGCATCGAAAACTACATCACACATAGTCTACGTCGTCAGTAGCCACCCCATCGTTAACAACATCCTTAACCACAAACTGGATAACCTCCACAGTTGTCAAATGCCAGAATCAGGAGACGTATCAGTTCTGGCCCCTTCCCCACTCCATCACGGCAGCTCCAAGCTCAACAACATGTGGAACGCTCGTCGGCACCTGAAACTCAACCTCAACGAATGCTACCACACTGGAGGTGTCTCCTTCAATGCTGCCAACCTCAACGGGCGCGTAGTTACCTCCCCATGTAGACCATCCAAGCTGAGTGTGCCTTCCGAGGATACTCACATGAACTGCAAGAAATCTAAGCTGGAGATTTGTCCATCACACTTCTCTACACCGGTTTCTTTGCTGACAGCAGGTCGGAATCATCTTCATACTAATACCCAGAACTGTTACCGTGTTGATTCTTCTGGATGTTCTACGCCTTCAGGAAGTAATTTCTTCACCGACCTTTACCACTACCATCAATCCTTCTCATCGGCAGCGTCATCGTCTCCCAGCAGCATTAATAATAATTCCAGCTCATTAACCATCAACCCTCAGCAAATGAACCAAGCTACCTCACCAACCATGTTTATCAAAAACGCCAGAATATCACCTTTGCCCAGTCCGGTGGTCACCAACTGCGGTTGTGGCGTGGTCTGCAGCAACATCTCCTGCTCATTGCCTTCTTCAGCTTCACCCTCGCCTAAAGCAAGGTTGAAGCCTATGACCTCAGAACAACTAGCATCCATTGTCGGCAAATCTAAACCCATTCTCATCATTGACATTCGCGCATCCAGTGCCTATCACAGGAACCATATCCAGGGAGCTGTTAATCTTTGCTGTTCTGATCGGACTAACCGACGACGCATTCAGATTGGCAAGACATCTGTCCTTGATATACTTGGAATTGATGATTCTTCAAGTTTGTCGGTACACTCCAGTTTGTCTGTAAATTCGCCTTCCACCAAAAGGAAAGCTCCATCAAACAGTGGTATGGATATACTTGTGTACGATGACCATAGTACAGTTCAGGACCTAAGTGATTCACCCCAGGATAATATTCTGTGCACTATACTGACATCTTTATTGAAAGATGGTAACGATGTCCACGTCTTAGAAGGTAAGAATGCATGTTTCGTTGTATGTGGTCCATAGTAAATTCATCAGCGTGTCATTTAGATTATAGTGAAGATTTCTATCTTTTACATGGCTGGTCAAGGAAACTGATGACACTGATAAATTAACGAAAATAGATTTTCATATTTGGGTGTCTACTACAGTTCAATTGTCCACTGGCCACTAAGCACGGTACAGTATACATCATAGCACAATGAACGCATCCACTCAAGATGGCGAAGCTCGTGCGATTTATGCTTGCCTCTGCGATCCTATACATAAAATTTGTGTTCTTCAAAGGCAGTGGTTTGCACCCCTTTTTCAGGTGGCGTCCCCTTTAAGCATACAGCCCCCCCCCCCCCCACACACACACACACACACACACACGCAGTCCGTTAACAAGAACTTGGAGAAAAACTTTCAGATAAAACAAATTGTCAAATGACAACAACAAAGATACAATCACCATCACCTGGTAATTGAGTGTCCATATATCAGTGTGATGGTTGACACTGTTTTGATATCTGTTTCCCTGTGTGGGTTCCAGGACCCTATTATGGGGAAAACAAGAACAGACCCACTGCCTACCCAGAAGTATGTCGTAAGAGTCGACTAATTAGGAGCTTCCTTCGAAGTCGAAGTGCCTCTGCCTGAGAGGCAAGGAACCAGTGGTCTGCACACAAATTAGTCAGATCTGTCTAACGGATGCACACTCAACACTCAGGTTCTGCACTGCATTCCAGAATTGGGCGAACAACCAGAACTTTCCACCAGAGTTTACAGCTGGAGATTGCAAAGAAAGAAGATATCTGTTATTTTTGATCTGATCTTAGACGAGGCACGATAGAAATTACTCCCCACGTAAATCTGGCAACGCTGTTTTATTTTCATGGCCGTTGAAGCTGAATATCGGGATTATTACAAGTACAGATACACTTAATTTCATATTTGCCTGAGGCCGAATCCGTCTCCAAGGCCGGAGACCACCCCCATTGTGTGGAGAAAAATTGATAGACCCACACTGTCTCCCTTACAAGCATGTCGTAAGAGTCTATTGATTGGGTGTTTCCTTAGAAGTCAAAGTGCATCTGCCTGGGAGGCAAGGAACCGAACCAACAGTATGCATACAGATAAGTCAGATCTTTAAAACGGATGTACACACAACATTTAGGTTCTGGAACAAGAGGTGGTTGAACAACCCAAATTGTCCGCTAGAATTCTCAGCCGATGAACGCGAAGAAGAACAAGATTACTTGTGCCATTTTCTTTGTTTACTGTTTTGTTCATGAAATTTGACTGGATTTTATGCATTTACAATCTTTACCTGTTTCACTGTATCTAAACTATCCCAAAGTAAAATGTACTGTCTATTATGTATATCTCACTGTACACCAGTTCTAGACTAACTTCCGCCCACGGATCCTTATTCAAGAATAATTGTTTACAGCCAAGGTACCCTCCAGCAAGCACACTACGGCTAATTTAAATTATATGTTGTCTCAGATATAAAGGGTTAAAACATGGTATCTAGTAACCAGTGGCATTGTAAAAACATGTGTCACCCGGTGCGGAAAATTTCTCTCTCTCTCTGTCTTTCTTTCACACACACACACTCATTTAAGAATACATATTTTTGACATTTTGTCGCCACCCTCAGTGACGACACCCGGTGCCGCTCGCAAGCCCTCTCCTACGCCTCTGCTTGTACCCACACCTCAGTCAAATGAAATTCTACACATTGTGCCCATTGCGCCAATCCCCCACTGGCCGTGACAAACTAACACGGAGATGGACTGTATGAGTAACTCGACAATATTTATAGCAGTGGCATTTTTGCTTTCCCTCACGGTAACAAACGGAGCTGCTGTGTCCCACACACACACACGTACTTTCTATTTCTAGACGCCACACTTTACATTGTTGTGTGAATATACTGTCTGTTTCTGCCGTTTGGTTGTCATTGTGTCCCCACTGTCTATCTGTGTATCCTTCAAAAATAGCTGTCTATCTGGCTACTAATCCGCATGTGTGTATGCCTACCATAATGTCCTGTTTAGCTGTCTGTTGGCGTGTGTGTTTTACCAGTTTCAAACATACACCACTCCACTTGTTGTTTCCTTTCTCTTCTTAATATTCACATACTTGTAGTCTTCTCTGTACTGATTATTCCCCCGCTTTATGTCACCATCTCTTCGATACTATTACCACTCTTCATTCCACACACATTCCTCTTCTCATTCCACTCAGTCCTCTTTTATTTCCACACACATTCCTCTTCTCATTCCACGCACATTTCTAATCTCATTCCACACACATTCCACGCACAGTCCTCTTTTATTTCCACACACATTCTCCTGTTCTCATTCCACGCACATTTCTAATCTCATTCCACACACATTCCACGCACAGTCCTCTTTTATTTCCACACACATTCTCCTCTTCTCATTCCACGCACATTTCTAATCTCATTCCACACACATTCCACGCACAGTCCTCTTTTATTTCCACACACATTCCTCTTATTCCACGCACATTTCTAATCTCATTCCACACACATTTCTCTTCTCGTTTCATTTCATTTTCCCAATGTACCAACTTTCTAATGTTATCACCCTACCCCTTTGTGTGTGTTGGGGGGTGGGGGGCGATAGACCCACTGTGCCCAAGAAAGCATGTGGTAAAGGTCGACTAATTAGGGGGAGATTCCTTTGAAATCGAAGGAACCGACAGTCTGCATACACATAAGCTAGATCTGTAAAAAAGGTGCTCACGCAAAACTCAAGCTCTAGAAAAGGACCAAAGTTCAACAGTGAACGAACCACTAGAACTTTTCCTTCCGGTGTTAACAGCTGGATAGTGCTAAGTAGAAGAAATCTTATGCAACGCTAATGAAGCCTTTCTCTCTTGATAAACTTTCCTTACAAATAATTATGTTGTCATCCCTCTGTTTGATTATTTCTAGCCTTCAGTTCCACATTCCATTCATTTCTGCCTGTCCCGTTTCCGTATTTCCTCAGCTGGTTTCCGGTTAGTCTAATTCAAATTGTAATTCTCTTCCTTCATTTCTTTGAGACTGTTCCCACGCAGTCAGTACGCGCAGCTTCCGCCGCTAAATTGTATCCTATCCGCCAGACCCACACTCATACCAGTTGTGGTAGCACGGTAACTAGCTCGCTTACCTAATGGTCCAAATGGCACAAGTTCGAATCCTCTACTCCACCCCTTAGATTGTTTAATTCGTTCAGAACCAGTCATATGTTACTTTAACTTATTTTATTGTATCAAGTCGTTATTCCAATGCAGTCTTAGGTATGAAGAGTTAAACATTGATAATTTTTCAACAGATCGATCGATTTCCGCTCCGGGCTGCTACTGAAAGATTTACGTTATCATCATGGGGGATTAAAAATCGCATCCATGTGTGGGTTCTGGGGCCCCATGGTAGGGAAAACAAGAATAGACCCACTGCCTTCCCAACAAGAATGTCGTAAGAGTCAACTAATTAGGAGCTACCTTTTAAGTCGGAGTGCATTTGCCTGAGATGTAAGGAATCAACAATCTGCATACAGTTAAGTCTGATCTGTTAAACGGATGTGCACGTAGGACTCTGATTCTGGAACAAGACCAAAGTCCAGAGGGGACAAACATCCAGAATGTTCTGCCGAAGCCTACAGTCCATGAACGCGAGAAAGAAGAAAAACTCAGGAGAAGAATTTTGGTTGTGCGTCCACTTCAAGAGTGGTGGTGGTATTTCAGAAACTGCGTTTTGCCCGCACATCGTTTTACAGACTTGGTTTATTCGTACGTAAACTTTGGATTTGCCTCGCACTTTAAAGGTCGTGGGTTCGTTTCAAAACAGTGTCATTTAGTTTACGAGTGCAATTTTTACAGAGATCCATGTGAATTGGCGCTGGAGCTACGGTCATCGTGCTCTGTGCAACCCTCTCAGCAAGCAACTATCTGTTCTACGGAGAGACATGAGTTAAATGGAATAAAACCCGGTGCAGTGAAGCCGATCCCCTCACCTTTTCCTTTATGTGGATGGCTTACACTGTAATACACCTGCTTTACTCATTTTCGTTATATTTTTAGTCATTTCACGTTGTACAAATACTGCATTGACCACAATGCTGTTGTGCTAAATCACCGCGGACGAAACGTCGTGACAAGGACAACTCGCGAGAAAAGGGATGGAATTTCACCACCTCTAGAAACTCCCTATCACCCCATCTCTACCTGCACTGTTTTCTTGTCCACTCCAAGTCTGCTTACGTGTGGCATGTTTTTTACGTTAGTCATCATTAAGGCGGACGTCAACCCGATCTGTATCTCTTCGGTGGGGGTTATTCAATGACATTCGGAATGTAGAAGGTGAACCAGAGACAGTAACTTCAGATTTGTTACAGTTCGCAGAAAGGAAAAAGACAAGCCATCTCCTCCAACCATGTCGTAAGTCAAGGACTATTTTCACGTTATCAAGCGTATGCCCGGTGACCCCAAACACAACTCTTCGTGACACCATTTGAAAACAGTCTAAGGAATTTAAAAAAAAAAACATAATGTAGCAGAGATTATAATAAATATTTCAAACAGAAAACTGACTGCACTTGACTGTCATAAAAACATGAAGCAGAATATCTAACTTGTCAGCGGAATGACTAAAGGGGCACCACAGGGCTAGAATGCTGAACAAGATTTCTCCTAGCCACACGCCATCTTCGGCAATAATAATATTTTCTGTAACCCAACCCAGTGTCGACCTTTCTCATCTTGGCCCCCATCTGAGATCTACATAGTTTAGACATAGTTGTCCGCCATTAGTCAGAGGCGGCCATGTGAAATTGTCACAATTTGATAAGGGGTCTGTTGGTCGTTGGGGTTTGTTGGTTAGCCTTACGTTGTCGTGGGCGGTTCTAAGGAGATGAGGTTGGGCACTTAAGCTGCATCACTCCTGGTATCGTAGTGGCTATCTTTCTTTCTATCTATCTATCTATCTATCTATCTATCTATCTATCTATCTATCTATCTATCTATCTATCTATCTATCTATCTATCTATCTATCTATCTATCTATCTATCTATCTATCTATCTATCTATCTATCTATCTATCTATCTATCTATTTGTCTATCTATTTTATTTATCTATCTATCTCTATGACACACTCTATTGTTACACAACCCTTTTTTTCATTTCTTACATTAACTCTTTATGTTTTTATTATGTTCATCTTAAAGTCTCAGTCTAACATTACTTGATACTTCTAATAATTAACACTTTTAATTCTGAAACGCAACATTATTGTCTGTTTCAATGTTTAACATTGATAATTCTCAGACGCAACATTACTTTCTGTTTCAGAATGTTAACATTTTGTTTAACTTTCCAGACCTCTCTGTTTACTTAAAGTAACAACTTATTAGAAAAGAGCGAGTTAAAGCAACACCAACGTTGTACTGGAATAGTTAGCTTTGTTTTAAGACGCTTTCGAAATTGTTGAACTGTAGTATCATACCTTTTATATTACATATTTTATGTCCTCGCTTTGCATGTATTGATATCATGGATCATTAAGTTGCTGAACACCGGTGCGAATACAGTGTAAGATACATACACTAAGGCCGAGTAAGTTGAACACTGCGTGACTCATCATCCATCGATCAGTGCATGACGTCTTCAAACCTTTCTGTGTTTATACATATAGATTTCTTACAGTCTGCCATCCTCTGAGGATTTCACCAGCTCGCTCCGTCCTTGACCTACTGTCAGTCCTTGCCACGTTAAGCTATAGCACGCAATAGTTATATAGTTATCCAGGCTAGTCCACTTTAGCCGAAATGTTCCCACATCCCTTTGAAAAAGATACAAAACCTAACGAACAGTATATCAGCGAGCTTCATAGTGCAATAAACACGAACGAAAAGTGAACATTGCAGCTACACAGCCCTCATCAGCACACACATAAATCGAACAAAAACACTGGAATACACAAAATGACTGAACTGAAGTATCCTGGAGCAAACACTTAAATGCCTTGCCAGTGAGGGCCTTTTTTTATCTGAAAAAAGGAGGGAGGGTGTGAATAAAAAATAAACACCAAAACAAGACCTGTATTTTTCTCACTTCATTGTCTCGTGTAGGTTCCCCCCCCCCCCCCCCCCCGCCCCCCTTTATGGAGCACATGATTTTAAACTATGGTTATGAATCATGGACAGGTAATAGAAAGCCAAACAATTTTTTTGGTCGCATAAGTGTAGTTTTAAGAAGATTGCTTACATTAACGTTCCTTGGACAATTAAAAAATAATCACCCAGATGGTTTATCAGAGGCGAAGGGCCGAAAAAAACATATTACAAACATCAGAAGGAGACAGCCATCATGGAGATAACGGGAAACTTATGAGAACTAGAAAAAGTGGAAGCAAGATGATTCTACACGCCATTTTGTCATGGCATGGAGAGGTGTCAGCATGAAAGCTGTTAGAGATGGCAGGTAAAGTGGCTTCGTACATACAAACGATTTTAAATTATGTAGCCACATTCGTGTATGAATCGTTGCGTGTAAGTGAGTAAGCCGCTTCAACCTATTTTTTTCCACTGAACAAAAAAAAAAACATTATACAAGAAATACATATCCAGATGAAGCAGTGAAGTTCATTTTGTCTATCCTTTTCTACGCTTATTGCGGGATGTCTAGCAGTTATCTTGTGTGAATTTTTCCGCGTTAAGACACAAATGGGTGGTCTCCTCACATTGACCAATATAGACGGATGTATAGGCATACCATTACAAATGATTGCCGATAAAGATACTACTCCAGACATCTATATCCTGATGAACGTAGCTGGCTTGGCCACTCCTAACTTTTGCTTTAGATAAGATTGTCGAAACAGCAATAATTTGACCCTTTAAAAAAATTCAACATGCATACATTTCCCTCGTTTTTTCAGGTGGCTTCAAAAGTTTCAGCATTGACCACGAGGCCTTGTGTCGGAGCAGCAGTAAAGCTTTAGAGATCCACAAGCCACTCCTGTACTCCCCGACAAATGGCGTCCAAGAACCGGAAATAGAAGCCGCCACAGCTTCACAAGTACTTCCGTTCCTCTACCTCGGTAAGTTGCTAGTCTGTCTTCCGGCACAAATGTGTTAACAGATACAAGTACCGAGATACCTTGGAACAAAGTATTTGTGTTGATAATGATAATAATAGTGATAATAATTATTATTATTATAGGTATCACTTTATAACAGGCACACTTTGTACCATAGTTGATGTATAATGCTAGGGCTTTATTTAAAAGTAGAACTTTTACCCCACCAGGACCTCACACAAGCGATAAATACCTGATGACACAAAATGCTACCACGTGGATGATCATTATTATTATTATAAGTATGGCTTTATGACAGGCACGCTTTGTACCATAGTTGAAAAATAATGCTAGCTCTTTATTTAATAGTAGTAGTACTTTTACCCCACCAAGACATCACACAAACAATAAACACCCGGTGACACAAAGTGCCACGATGTGGATGAGGATCACCCATGGAGATGTCCTGGAAACCGCGTTCAGCCATTAGGCCATATTTATGGCCGGGCTATATTTCGGTTCCTGTCAAGGATTAGGGTGGGGCTTCAAAATAACGAATAATTGCATCCCACAAGGGAATGACCAGATATAGAAGTGATACTTCCGGCACAAATCTATTAACAAATACAAGTACAGAGATGCTTTGTTCCAAAGTATTTGTGTTGATGATAATAATAATAAGTATTATGAATATCGCTTTATAACAGGGACGCTTTATACCATCTTTGTTATATAATGCTAGCGCTATATTAATAGAATAATTGTCATTATTTGGGTGGATATTACGCTAGCTATCTTTGCCTTTACTTTTGTTTAAAGAGCATTTCCTGGTACATTGTTCGTTTTATGCCGTGATAAAATGGAAGCCCAACTAAATTTTAATCAAAATCCCTGCTTCAGTAAGGATCCGAACATGTGATAACATGGCCGGACGGTACGCAGGCTAGCTCACGCTATCCTGGCTCCCACGATGTAAGAGTATACCAGCTAACATTACTCTAAACACTAAAGGTCGCATAACTCTCACAATATAATTTAAAATGGTGTCCCTTTGAGTGTTGGTCTCACGGTTTCTAGGTGACATGTCAACCGTTATCTATACTACGTAGTCGGACTTTATTTTAAAAGTAACCTTGGCCCGCGTGACGTTGACCACATCACCCATCGAGTGCCCATTAGTCGATAAAATATAGGTCTAGCCCTATATGCCCGCTACGCATGAAGGTCTTTTATTCTATCTATACTGACAGATATAACATTGAAATAAAAGACCACGAAATAGCTAACTGAAAAAATGACTCCCTTCACGCCGCTAGATCATCTGGTGCGTGGTGCTACACAAATATTATCACCGGCTACCTTTGCTTTCTTCTTATAATATTTATGGTGCCAATTTTAGGCTAGTCGATTCGGTAGCCCTAGGCAAATACAGGGTGTTTGTAAAGTCTCACCACATGCAGAACATATTTGGAAAACTAAGTACATGGCGTCATCACGAAATGTGTTAAAATGTCACTAAATTAGTTACAGTAATTACTGCTAATGTCTAACGGGGGGGGGGGGGGGGGGGGGGCTGGAAAGTACAATTGTTATATTCTTTATAAAACTTAAAGACAGGACTGTATGTACACTTCTCTTCGGATTGTCAGACACCTTCTCCAACGTGTTTGTTGTTATTTCTTGAATGGCATTCTGTTTGCTTTTTTTTTTTTCACAGGTCCTTAACTGTGTGTACATTATTTTTCAAAACATTTCCCACGGCGAGAAACACATTCCTCAGATTAATAACCGTAATGCGATTAAAAGTATGTTTGTCAGGAGATCATGCTATAAATCTTTGAACGACAATCTGTCTGTATCGACCACCATTTCAAAACACGTGTTGAACACACACACACACACATCTTTCTTTCGTTGATAGCATTATTCTGTTTTGAGTGGAAAGAAGACAAGACAGCAGTTCACTATATATTGCTTCACGACTTGCAGCGGAGCACATTTTTTACCACGGCATTACTTCGTGCTTTTGTAGTTTTTTTTTTTTTAATTATTTTTTCTGCATATGAAGTGTAGTAAGACTTTACAAACACCCTGTATTATATACAGATTTACTCTGAATTAATTCGAACCCAAAATCTTCAGACCGGTTGGTAAGCGTCTAGCCACTGCTCTACACGGTATAAATTAACGTTGTGAGTAAGCATGGCACGGCTTGTTCCAGGGAAGTATTACTCACTGTTTCAAGAGTCGTTAACCAGATAGAGACTGGCAGTGCTAGCCTTTGACATGGCCACGTCTTAGGATGTTATCACTTTGTGAAAGCGACGATGAATCACGCCTTTAAACAGCATGCATATTCATGGCGTCTGCCGTTTCCCGTCTTATGTTGTCACAAATATGTCGATGTTTGCCAGCTTTCGCCGTGAACTTGTTACTGGGAGCTTGTAATTCCACTGTTCGTGGGTCCAGCGCAGTTTTGGGAAATTATCCAATAGAGGGATGCGTGCGGTCTGGGATAAGGACCGAATGAATCAATTTAGGGTTTGGACTGAATCCTGTCATATGCACACGAAAACAGAATACTCAGAACTTTCCAAACAGGATTTTTAACCGTTAGACCATTCTGAATTTTTTTTTTCTTTAAAGTAACTAGAAACTATGAGTTGTTAACCCTTTGGCTCAGAACTATGGATATCTCACCCCTACGGCCTTGATACCATGATAGGTACCGTAAATCTTGGAGAAATATGGCTTTTCTGCCTAACCCCGGTAGTGAACCCCGACCGCAAGGAGTTCGTCACCCGGTCACCGTGAAGTCAGGTTTAATTAACTACGCTAGCGAGCCGGGCTAAGACCATTTAAGTGTGACTTAATAAACAAACAAAAAAGAACGAACGAACTGTATTTAAGTTTTACGAAATAATGACACACAAACTGGCAACTAAGAATCTCTATAATTAACAGTAAAAGACGCGAAAATGCTATCGTACGGATATGTACGCAAACCTTTCTCTCCTAAAACAGTACTACCTGGCCAGTAGAGGGGGGAAATGGAATAGGCACACGACAGACAGAACTTGGCTGTCTGGACATGCAAGCATGAAGTCCCGTGCATCTGATAGAGCTGGAGGGAACTAATCAGTCAGTCAGCCGTCATCTGATAGAGCTGGAGGGAACTAATCAGTCAGTCAGCCGTCATCTGATAGAGCTGGAGGGAACTAATCAGTCAGTCAGCCGTCATCTGATAAAGCTGGAGGGAACTAATCAGTCAGTCAGCCGTCATCTGATAGAGCTGGAGGGAACTAATCAGTCAGTCAGCCGTCATCTGATAGAGCTGGAGGGAACTTATCAGTCAGTCAGCCGTCATCTGATAGAGCTGGAGGAAACTAATCAGTCAGTCAGCC